AGCCATTCAGATGGTTATTCCAGCTCTGGCCACCTCACCCTTTGACTAAATTGCTTCTAACTGAAAGATCTCACTATCCCATTGTGGGGTAGGAACTGATGCCAGCGGGAGGGATTTATCCCTGACCATTAATGACTTTTTTTTTTGTAAAGAATGGTGACGTCTGGGAGGGACATGCACACAATATCAAACAGGCAAAACCGCATTACAACTGTCGTGTAAAGTGGCCACTGTGAATCTCTGTATGTGTTGGAGAGGAGAAAGGCTGGCTGCAGCTTCAGCCACAAGATGGGGACTGTGGAGGACAAATCAGAAGCTCTGCACATTTCGACTATTAGACCTGTGTGTGTTTAAAAAAAAAAAAAAAAAAAGCACTCACTTTTTGTATTTAAACATTAAAAATGATTCCAATAAAAAAAAAAAGAAATAGCCGGGTGTTGTGCCAGGCACCTATAGTCCCAGCTACTCAGGCAAAAGAATCATTTAAGCCCAAGAGGTTGAGGTTGCTGTTGCTGTGTGCCATGTGCCATGGCATTCTAGCAAGGGTGACAAAATGAAACTCTTGTCTCAAAAAACAAACAAACTGGCTCGGCGTCTGTGGCTCAAGCAGCTCAGGCACCACTGACATACACCTGAGCAGGAGGGTTTGTATTCAGCCTGAGTCGGCCAAACAACAATGACAGCTGCAACCAAAAAAATAGCCAGGCATTGTGGTGGATGCCTGTTGTCCCAGCTACTTGGGAGGCAGAGGCAGGAAAATCGCTTGAGCCCAGGAGCTGGAGGTTGCTGTGAGCTGCGATGCCATGGCACTCTACCCAGAACAACAGCTTGAGGCTCTGTCTCAAACAAACTTGGCTCGGCACCCGTTATTAGGGTGTATGTGGTTAGGGTGCTGGCCACATACACCAGGGGCTGGCCTTTCAAACCCACCTCTGGCCTGCTAAAAACAACATTAACAACAATAACAACAACAACAACAACAAAGCCAGGTGTGGCTGGCACCTGTACTCCTAGCTACTTGGGAGGCTGAGGCAAAGAGAATCACTTGAGCCCAAGAGTTTGAAGTTGCTGTGAGCTATGATGCCATGGCACTCTACCCAGGGCAACATAATAAGACTCTGTCTCAAAAAAAAAAAAGGACTTTAGGCTGGCTGGGTGGGCATGGTGGCTTCTGCCTGTAATCCTAGCACTCTAGGAGTTCGAGGTGGATGGATTGTCTGTGCTCAAGAGTTCGAGCCAACCTGAGCAAAAGTGAGACTCTATCTCTACTAAAAATAGAAAAACTAAAGCAAGAGGATTGCTGACCCTGAGTTTGAGGTTGCTGTGAGCTATGATGCCACAACAGTCTACCCAGGGCGACAACTTGAGACTCAGTCTTTTTTTTTTTTTTTTTTTTTTTGAGACAGAGCCTCAAGCTGTCACACTGGGCAGAGTGCCGTCACACCACAGCTCACAGCAACCTCCAACTCCTGGGCTCAAGCGAGTCTCCTGCCTCAGCTTACCAAGTAGCTGGGACCACAGAAGGTAGGGGAGCCCCCAGCCCAAGTAACTTAAAACCAAGAAGGATGTGGTGGGGGGCTCGGCGCCCATAGCTCAAGTGGTTAGGTGCCAGCCACATACACTGGGGCTGCCAGGTTTAAATCTAGCCCCAGCCTGCTAAACAAAATGACAACTATAACAACAACAACAAAAATAGCCAAGTGTTGTGGCAGGCACCGGTAGTCCCAGTTACTTGGGAAGCTGAGGCAAGAGAATTGCTTAAGCCCAACAGTTTGAGGTTGCTGTGAGCTGTGATGCCACAGCACTCTACTAAGGGCAACATAGTGATAACTTGTATCAAAAAAAAAAGAGATGCGGCAGGGGGACACTGTATTTCACTCTTTTTTTTTTTAATGGCCGGGGCTGGGTTTGAACCCACCACCACCTTTAGTGTATAGGGCTGACACCCTATTCCTTGAGTCACAGACTCTACCCACTATGCTTCACTCTTGCTGTGAATAAACTGGGAGAATAAATGGGCAAGTAGCTGCCCTGGAACTGTTACTATGAACCAACCTGCACAGCTCTCATCCTTTGGAGGGGTTGAGGGCACAGCCATTGAGCCTACATGGCTGAAGCCCATATTGGGGCTCTGCAGAGAGGGTCACGAGGCCAGAACCCACACAGCCCTGCCAGGGTTGCTCCTGCACAGAGCTGAAGAGTCAAGAATTTGGGGCCAAGAAAAAAAAAGTGTCTGTGTCTCAACAAGCAGAGGCTGCGTTAAGCTGTAAAATGTGATTCTTCACATGATCCAACTATGACTTTGGCATCTGGGTGGGGCTTACAGTTCCCCCGCTCTCTGGGCTACGAATTTCAGAGCAGCTCAGGGACACAGCACCAGCTCCAGCAGCCCAGCCAGAGGGACCAGCACACTTTTCCTAGTGCCTGTGCCAAGGGGCATTTCCTTCCCAGCATTGAGATGGAGGATGGGGAAAGAAGCCCCTTGTTGTCCCAGGTAAGACAGAGCCCAGTGACCTCACTCCAGGAATGGAGATGTTCCCCAACTTTGAAGTGCCATAGGAGGTCCTTGTTGCAACCTCAAGCCTTGCGTACTGGAGCCAGACATAGGACAGAGCACCTTGCAGGAGCTACTATACTTGGGGTTGGAGGTTTTGCTAACTAAGTGCCACCCCTTCCCCAGCCTGCAGGTCTCCCAGCCCCAGCTGGCCCCTGGTCAGGGGATTGGGCAGGTCTCCCTGTGATCTGGGGGCAACCTCTGGCTCAGGGTGCAGGAGGGGGCAAAACATCCCACATAGCCAGCTGTGGATACCCCTAGCCTCTGATAGCCCCCATCTGGCCAACATGGTGCCCACAACCTGTACTTCTGCTCCTACTGGCTTATTGAGGCCTGGGGGACTGATAAATAACCTCCTCTCCCCATTCCAAGTTCAAAATTAACAAGCCGTCCGTGCAGAGTCAGACAGGTGGGGGATGGAGGGACAGCTTCTTTCTGGCAAGACTGGATTAGAAGAGGATCCTAGCAGGGTACCTGGCCTCAGTGTCTTAATTCTACCCTTTAACCAAACTTGTCACTGGCAGAACTGGACACCTATGGGGCTGATCTCCCACCACAGGCTAACCAAAAGCCCTCCTGCCCGCTTGGCTGGCCCTGCATCTTATGACTGATGTTCTTCAGCACCAGCTGCACTTCCCCTTGGGAGCCTGTCAGGCAGGGCCCAGCACACTTAGGCAGATCCTGGGGCACTGGAACTGGTTTCAGAGAGGAGGCTGGAAGGGTACTGTGTGAACACTGTTTGAAACTCAGGGAAAGCAGCCCACCTGCCACATGCCTGCACCAGGGGAAGGTCAGGGCCCTAACTTGCATAGGTCCAGCCCCTGCATCACAGGCAGGCGTGAGTACCACCTTACTCTTGCCAAGTTTTCACCATGGCTTTTTGTGTGGGTGTGGTCATCACCTGTTCTAAAGGCTGAGCCCACACATTAGTGGGTAGTGGAGCTAGGACCTTCACTGTCCCTTCTGCTGCCCAGCTGAGCAGGACAAGCCCACAGGTCCCCACCCTTGGCTCTCCGAGTCTCTGACCACTTCCCCTTCCCCTTCCACCATGAGTTCTCCCAATCTTTGTGGGCTCTGCCTAATCTTCCCCAACCCTTGCTGGTAAGATTTCAGCCCTGGCCCACTGTCATGTGGTCTGAGAGACTGAGGTCTCACCAGGGGTTTCCCTGCTCCTATTCCCTCTGCAGGACACTGAAGGCAAAAAGCCAGCCCTCTCTATGAACAATTCACCCACTTCAAGCTGCTCAGGTCCAGCGCCTCGGGAGGTCCAGGTGGGGGCCTGGGGCTCTAGCTGCTATCCTCCTGGGGCCAAACATAGGGCCTGGACAGAAGACCCAGCGCTTTCCCTCCCTGCAGGGAGCAGCTGCATCAAGTATCTCACATTCCTCTCCAACTTCCTCTTCTCCTTGCTGGGCCTGTTGGCCCTGGCAATTGGGCTATGGGGCCTGGCTGTCAAGGGATCTCTGGGGAGTGATTGGAGAGGGCCTCTACCTGTAGACCCCATGCTGGGGCTGGCCTTGGGGGCGTTGGTGGTCAGCTCAGTGAGCCTGGCTGGCTGCCTGGGCGCCCTCTGTGGGAACACCTGTCTGCTGCGCTGCTTCTCTGGGAGCATCCTTGCCATCCTGGTGCTGGAGTCTGTGGCAGGGGCCCTGTTGGTAGCCCTCTGGGGGCCACTGCAGGACAGCCTGGAGCATATCCTGCATATGGCTATCACCCACTACCAGGATGACCTGGACCTGGGTTTCCTGATCGACCAAATCCAGCTTGGCCTGCAGTGCTGTGGGGCAGTGTCCTACCAGGACTGGCAGCAGAACCTGTGAGTCCCAGATGTGGGAAGGGGGTAGTCCTGGGTGGCCAGCAGGGTCCCTGGGGCTAGAGGGGAGACTGGCCACACACAGGTTCATATGTGCGTACACACACTCGTATGTACAGGCTCACGTGTACATGCTCACATGTGGGCACATACTTGTGCATGCAAATACACACATGTATGCAAACTTACCCAGACACATCTCATGGGTTTCACATGTGTGCACTCACATGTGTATACTTGTACATGCACACTCACATGCACACACAAAATAGCCTCACCCAGGGTGGTGCCTGTGGCCCAGTGGGTAGGCTGCCGGACCCATATACTGAGGATTGTGGGTTCGAATCCGGCCCTGGCCAGCTAAAACAGCAACAAAAAGAAAGCCAGGCATTGTAGGGGTGTGCCTGTAGTCCCAGCTACTCAGAAAGCTGAGGCAAGTGAATTGCTTAAGCCCAAGAATTGGAGGTTGCTGTGAGATGTGATGCCATAGCACTCTACCGAGGGCAACAAAGTGAGACTCTGTTGGGTGGCACCTGTGGCTCAAAGGAGTAAGGCACCAGCCCCATA